GGCCGTCCGCGTGAGTACGGGCTGCGGCGGGGCCCGCGGAGCGGAGCGTGCCTGGGGGCTGCCTTCCTCCCCGCGGGGCTAGCCTGCGTGGGGCTTGGCCTTTCCTGTTGCTTCTCCTCGCCTCCGCTACCTCGCACTCTTTTTCCCTCGCCTAAGCGTTTTCTTTCTCTTTCTCGGCCTTTGCCGCTTTGGAAGTGTGTTTAGGAAGGGTGAAGTTCGGAAGGGCGGTGGGGGCTTTCCTTAGCCAGTGATGCATGGCGCCGCGGATGGGCGCTCTGGTTAATTCTGCAGCGTTTAGGGTTTTTTTACAACTCCTAGTGCTGCTGTTGGTTGCTCTTTACGGCATGGTCATGCAGAGATGGTGAAGTTACTTTTCTAAGTCTTGCTTATGAGAAGCAATTCCAACAAAACAACAATAATAACTCCTTCTCTGATAAAATCAAATCGTCCTTACATAAGATCATATCAATTGAACTCTTTGTTTTAGAACTGTCTTGACAGGATGCTGTCATTCAGATTTTGGTCAGAGGTGCACTTTAACTTCGCATCAATTTCTGTTGCTAGTTGAAGTATCCTTTCTATTTTTTTTGAAACAAGTTCAGCACCTTCCTGCTGCTGTGAAAAGACAGGATATGGGAAGTTTCTCCTCTTAATCATGTTAACAATTTAAATTGTAAGATGCATCTAGTGACTTTGCCTCACCATGACTCGGTTTCTTTGAATGTTAAATTGGAAATGGCCTGGAAACATTGCAAGCCTAATTTGAGGCCTTCAGTAGTCAAGTTGTCCAAGCATCAGCACTGCTCAAAGACTATTTGCTGTACTCTGAATTTAAGCGGTGCTACCTAATTTTTGTCTTAGGAAGTAGCATCTAAAGCAAAAATCATATATTATTCATTTCATCTTGAATGGGAATACTTTTTTGAAACCACATTTCAATAAGTCAAATTTGAGTTCAAACACTGGCTTGAGTTTATCATAAACATTTATAAGATGCTTGCTATAATTCTGTTTTGGTTTACCTATCATGCTGCTATTTCACAAATAATAAAACGTATTTGCAGTACTTATAGAAATAACATTGTTCATGAAGGTAAGATGAGTGTTGCTTAGGATGGAGGACTGTAGAACATACATGCCCTCCAAGTAGTTGTATTTAGTGGCAAAGGTGCAGTAGACTAAGTGAATTGAGTTGCCTCTTCTTTGTTCTAAATCTGAGAGAAGGATGGGCAAGCTTAATAGCAGTGCCAGGGCAGATCTTCAAGATGTTTATGAATCAGAAGAATACCATCTTGCAGATGAATTGACTTGAGGTGTCTGTTTAAAATAACAGGAAAGGCACATACCTTGCTAAAATCTGTCTACAGTCTAGTGCTCATGACCTAAGCAAGAATTGGAGGACTTCTGTGTGTTACGAGAATACTGTAACTTGCAGTAAGGTTTCTACTATGTGTTTATTGTTAAAATACTTCAGGAATTGGCTGATATTTAAGAAACCTGCAAGAGTGATTCTTGAAAAAGTACACAGTGTTAGTGGGCTCTGGTTCTCTGTGTTATGCTGGAAACCTGGGAAAACTTTCTTGAATGATACTTAATCTGTATCAGTGAAATGCTTAGGTGTATGTATGGACATCACAGTGGAGATTAACCTACTTTTCCTAACATAGCATACTATCTGTGGATTTAGATTTCTGCTTTGAGAAGTTAATCCCGTATGATGGTATTTCCTTGAGTTTTGCTGGGTGTGCTGTTATATGCTCTCTATCAGTGCAAATCAAAACTTATAAGATTGTCTGCATTTATCTATTAGCTTATGAGGTGGATGCAGTTAAGGGCTTAATGTGCTGTGGGTTTTCTTTTTTTTTTTCTTTATTATATAAGGTTAGAAAGGGAGTAAATAATAAAAATATTTTCATTTATGTAATTTTTTAATGTAAATCATAAAATAACTATGTTTCAGACTTAACTGGTACTGAACACAGCATCAGATTGTCTATATATGTCCATCTCACCTGGCAGTGGCCAAAATCAATCACTAGAGAATAGTATTTAAGACACGTGTCATGAGCCTTCCTCAAATCTGAGGGACGTGCTCAGTTGGTGGTGGTGGTGGTGGTTTGGATTTGGCTTCTATGTATAGTTCTGGTTGCTTTTGTAGTACGTGTGGGCTGAATATAGTGTATTGCAAGTCTCAGTTACTGTTTGGAGTAGTGTTACTGCTGGTCGTCTTCCCTCTTATTTCCTACATAAAGGAAATATGTGTATTTTACACTTTACACTCTTTTCCTGTTAACTACTCTTGTAGCTTTTGCTCTGCTCATTTATATTTATGTATTTCATGGAGACTTTCCTGTGGATTAAAAGGAAGTAAGATGAAAACCTTATTCCAGAGTATACAAGACAGTTTTGATGGATGTGCTCATGATGTAACCACACCAATCTCCTGCTGTAAATATCTAATTGCACTTTTCTGCTCCTTTAAGCAAAGCAAATCAGCTGTGAGACTGAAAGAAGACATGAAAAAGATAGCTGCATTTCCACTGACCAAACAGAGGGATGTAACTGGTCCAAAGGTGTTTGGTGTGAGTCTTCTGGAACTCCAGCAGCAGGGTCTGAGCAAGAATGGCATCCCAATAGTTGTGTGGAATATAGTCGAATACCTGACCCAGCATGGTAAGCTTGCAGTCATTTGTGCTTAGTTGTGCTGTATAAAGCCCTTCAGAGGAAGGGATCCTAACCTGCTTGTGGTACAGAGGCTGAATAAAATTAACCACATGTAGAGAATATTATTGTATTTGCTTGTTTTTTTTTTCCTGCCTTGATGCCTAAGTTAACATTAAGATGTTTATCAAGGTCACCTATTATGTTCTGATGCAGCACACTTTCATAAATAAGCTCCTCAGGGTACGGAATGTGTATTTTCTGTAAGTTTATGTCATTTTCTACTTGTAAAACACTGGACATGAATACAGTTTCTAATGGTTAGGAGATATCTGTATCTATCAAGAGATATTCATGTCTGCATACATGCCATCAGAGTATAGTACCATGTTAGGAAAGCATATTCTTTCATCTTTTTGGAAAGAATCTAGTTGTTATCCCATTTGGAAGGTAAGCCTCCAATTCTTAGCTCCTATTTTACATTTGTTTAATAGGTCTTAGTCCTGCTTGATGAAATGCATCTTTCTGAAAAAACAGAGTACTCTGTGTACACAAATCCACGCTATGGCAGTTGTTCAGCTATGGACAAGATTTTTGAGGAGGTAATTTCTCCTTAAGAAGCTGTATCTGTTTGTACTCCAGTATTTTTCTTCTGACTGCTCAGTAAAGATAATCCAATTGCAGAGTCTTAGATTCCCTGTCTGTGTCTTGTCAGACCATAGAAGCTGCTCATTGTAAGCGTGGCTTGAAAGTTAGCTTGGATTAAGTTACAGCACAAATTGAAAATGTGACCTTTTCCTTCATCAGTCCTCGTGTGAACATTTTGTGCCACAGCAAGAACATCTTTGATTTACTTAATTCGGAGTGGTCTGCTAGAACAGTAAAAGACGAAGGATGGGGAAAAAATATTCATCGCTGGGGTTTAATCTAAACCTGAAATGGGCAAGCACTGCTAATTGCAAGCTGATATAAAGATATAACCCACTCCTTTTTTCAAGAGTGCAAGCAACATCTCAAAGATACTGTTTTACCAGAGTTCTTGAAACAGGTGTTCTGTGTTTGCCTAGGATTTCTTTGGCACTTAATGGTGCATTTAACTGGAAAAAATGTTTCTAACAGAGGCCCAAATATGCTGTCAACTCTTTATTAAAAAAAAAAAAAAAAAAAAAGTGTCTTACAACTCCTCTTCCACAAAGATGCATTAATAGATCCTGAAGTTTTAAAGTTTTAAGCCAGATCATGTCAGAGCCTCCTTCCTTTCTTATGAGGGCTTGACTGTTTGAAAAATATGAGCTGACTATTGGTCAGCCACATCCTTGAATTAAGTTTCTGTGAAGCAGCCAACTTCTGTAATTCACTGTTGAAGTCAAGTTTTTCTGTACTGAATTTAGGAGAAGCAATGGAATATTACTAGTATGTTTTAGCCACTCTTATTTCCATAAATGGCTATTGGTGGAACGTCAAGGAAGTTTTAACTATATGGAGAATGTTCTTTGCCTGGCTTGTGCTGCCTGAATGAAAATCATTACTGAGATGCAGTGTTTTCTATCACCCTGCAGATGGCAGTACAGCATGTCACATATGAATGATTTTGTTGTGAGAGGGCAAGAACTCAAGCAAAGATCTGTAAGCATTATCTTTCAAGTTTGTCCTTTTTTTCTCTTATTGTATCAGTCTGTCTAGTTCAGT